TTTTCTACAACTTCTACAGTAAAATTTTAGACAAATACCCAAAAAACTTACTTGCCAAATGGGCCTCTAGATTAGGAGCTTGCAAAAGAAAACTTCTTGTTTAGCACCGAAAAATTAATTTAAAAAATTTGTTGGAAGTAATACGAGGGAAGAAGAGGCATATGGGTCCAAACTATAGGTCTAGCAAAGTATCTAAGGAAAAGAGCAAGCTTCAATGTAAAAAAAATGCAGAAAAATTTCTCGTTTGGATTGCTATTTTTAAGAGTTTTGTCAAAAAATATACTGTAACAATTTGTTATTTATGAGATAAATAGGTGATAAGGAAATGTGTTCACGAAAAATATAAAAAATTTTCTATGAATAACCATAATCCAAATAAGGATAATTTGTTTGATAGTTTAGATTAGAAATGGAATGCATTTGCTAATTGTTCTACTAGTTATTTTGTTGTTCGGTATGTTAGTGGCGTATACCTCTAATTTGTTTTGTTCAATAATGTATATATACTAGCTTGTCTTCATTTTGTTACTCCTTATTTCTCTTGTTTTCTTTTAATGTAAAACTCTTAGACAATAAAAAATATTTTCTTCCTTATTTATTTTTTTTTCCTTTTTGTTCTTTTTTCGCGAGATGTCATCAATGTTGTAGTGAAGGATAAAAAGTTGATACAAAAACCTAATTATCATTATATTAGCCTTTCCAAGATTGTCGCTAATTCTTTACATGAAAGTTTGCTTCCTCCATTTGCCTAGTTGAGTCTCCAAATTAAAATAAGAAATGCAATGCCATTTTTTTGTGCAAAAATGATATGACAATAAACCTAGAAATTTCACCAAGTGCTTGCAATCACACAAGAATGGTTATTATTGTGGATTTCATCATAATGTCTAAACCTTCCAAAAAGATGTCTTTGTAGTTTTAAGGAGGGAAATCCACTAGACTATACGTAAGATTAAGAAATACAGTAAATGAAGTTAAAACATATTTCATAAAATCTTCCCTTAAAAAAAACTTTATAAATTTTCTTACCAACTTTTGTTGAGTTTTTTTTTTTTTTTTTAAATATAACACATAATATCTTAACATACATAATGATCGTAACCCATGATGGAGGTCTAGTTATTAGTTGGCTTCAATGTCCTTTAGCTGGAGGAAATACATATCAGAGCATGGTCCTCCTCTTTCCAAAAACAGAAATGAAATTGAAAAAAAAAAAAAAAACCTTTAGTTCTTCTCTACTTAAAAAAAATTTAAAAAAAAAAGCATTTATGCTATTTACTCTTTAGTCTGATAAAGAATAAACCGAAAAGCTTGGGAATCCCTTTGGATTGAATAATTTTGAAAATATTTCTCAACCATTTTTTTATCTTAGATATAAATTTATTCAAAACATTTAACACCATAATAAGTTATTTGTAAGAAAAAAAAAATCTCTAACACACAATTCAGACAGAGGCTGGATAGTCCCTAATCTGTCCAGTATCTCTCCGGCCCTCCTCTCCACCTACCCCTGCGGACCAGAAGGTTGGAGCATTGAGTACATATGCTGTGAATAGTTGTGGGCTTAGACTTTCTGGTGCTTGGGACCCGATGGTGCAGCGGCTCCCCATTTTAAAATCCGACAAATTCTGGTTGGTTGATTGAGCTCGTAACCATTTCTGATTCCCTATTTAAAAACAGGGACCTATCATTTCCTTCTACCAACAAGTCGACCATGTGATTCTCGTTGTTGGTCCTAAACCATTTTTAATTATTTTTTTTATAATCAATCACCAATTGGATTAGAATCTTTGACCTTTTTTGGGAAAGACTCGATGAACAACTACATGTAAATGGAAAATCGACACAGGACACATGCCTGCGACTCTTATGGAAGATTATTATTTTGTCGATACTCTTTTAAACAATAATATTGAAGTACTTTAGGTGAAGCATGTATGTAAGATTAAAAGTAAATACTCCTTTCATTTCATTTTGATAATTTTGATTTTTTTTCCTCATATAGTTTAAGAAAAATTAATTAATTTTGTTGAAAAAGTAAATCTAATCTAATATTTTCTTAAAATACCCATATATTAATATTAGAAATATCACTAATTACTATGCCTTTACATTCACTATAACAACAATAATATTGGTATATTGCACCTTTCAAAACATATATCAAAATAATTATTAGCGAAAAAGTTAACAATATTAAATAAGGTAGGCTATTTTTACTGGCAACGAAGTGTATCAAATAACGGTATTTTAGATAAATTAAAAGTTAATTATATTTTTCAGTTAGAAGGTGGACTGTAATTTGGAACGAGTGAAGAAGAAAAACAAACGCATCATTATGGGATAGAGCGAGTAAAAAAATAAATAAATAATTTATTGAAAAAATTGTTTATAATGGAAGTAAAATAATTTTACAAATAATAACTTGACAGCAGATGGTCGGTGGTGGGTGAGCAGTTTAATTAATGAGGGCCAAAAGCACGAATAAGGAGCTCACCCAAATTTGCGTGCACGGCGATTTCATTTCATAACTCATTAAACACGCACGGCATCGAAAAGGTTGATGTAATTAAAGACTACTGATTGATTGTACGTTTTACATTCCATAACCAACCTAAAAAGAGCAGTTTTCAACCTTTGACTTTTGAGTAATTGCACACTACCATTTCCATTTGACTAGTTTCCATGTGTTATCTCACTGCATTTTAAAAAAAAAATATATATATAGTTTAAATACATTTTGGTACTCTTCATAAAACTGTTGTTTTGTACTAACATTTTGTAATTGTAATCTATAGTAGCATTTTGACGATGATTTTTGATGGATTTACTCGATAGAACTGAGCATCCATTATGTGCTAGATGCTGAGTTCATATATTAGTATTTCACTATCAGAATGTGAAGTACAACACGATGATCATGTCTCCAAGTGGTTTTCTCTAGGCATAAAGTCAATAATCGTGCATTTGCATATTAAATGACAAATTTTGAAAAGTTGTGGTGGTGTTTACAACTGGTACACTGAATAAATCCGAAGTTTCTTCAGAAGATTGATAAAATTAATCCCCGGCTGCTAACTTTTTTTTTTTTTTTTTTGTCTTTGTGGGATAAGGACGTCTGGTTGGAAGATTTACATTTACTTGGGAGTTTGTGCAGCCAATAAATGAAGATGTTAGCAGATTGATTTGCATAAATCATATCCTCTTTTTTTTTTTTTTTTTTAAAGAAAAAACTTAAAAGTCACAGATTACACGTACGTATAACGTATGTACTGGTGTGGGCATGGTCATGCATGCTCCTTCCCAGTCAAATCCATAGTCGCATTCGCACATATGCATGTGTTTTAGTGTGGTGTTCCTAATATATTTGCGAGTACAGAAGAAGATTCGAGATCATATACGGTCTAATATTAAAAATTAGGTTAATCACTTAATAATTGATAGTAGTACTACCTAATATAATTAGAGTAAATCTTTCCTGCACTGACAGTGTATACACTATAATCGTTGGATTCATGACACGTGTGCAAAAATTGAATTTCAATTTCAAATTTAATTTTTGCATAATTGTCATCAGTGGATGGCATTATAATACTCTATTGCTATTGCATCCAAACTGACTTCTTGGGGGTCGTCTTATATGAACCTCACTTCCTGTTACTAGTAGACATATATACTACTTTAAACACGCTTCAAAGCGTGTTTAATCTGACTTAAAATATGCGGAAAGAATGATCGGGATCAAACACGGGGTTCTCACGTCTCACGTTGATTACCCCCTTCACCTAATCAATGTTATGAAATCAATTAATTAAAGGGAAGTTCCCCAACCGAGGACTGGTAAAGTAGTAGTATTATTTACCGAATATGGTTTAATCAATGCACACGAACTCAGCATCGCTGTGACTAAAAATTTAGAAGCTGGCCCGCGAGAAATGCCCAATTTCGATTAAGTTTCGTTTGAGGTTAAGGAAGGTGCGTTTATAAAACGAAACATGTTTTTAAACACTAAAAGTACTTGTAGAGTATTTGATAATTAATTTTTTCAAATTTAAAAAGTGTAATTTTTGATAATTTAAAAATATTTATGTCAGAAGTGCTTATTTAAAAGCCGCCGCCAAACGAGAACTTCATCATCCTTCGGACCTAGAGCGAGTAACTATTTGTTTGTTTGGACGCTCAACACTGCTCTCACAACTCGGGTAACTGGATGCGTATTTGAGATGGGCTACAAATGTCCAAAACTTATGGCTGGGCCTTTACAGTCAGATAGACGTGTTAGGCCTTCACAGTGCGACTAATTATAGAATATTCAGATACGTACATTAAGGAAACTTGAATTGCATTTGAACTTTTTGCAAGTCAATTCGCGACCATCATGCACTATAATTCAGTGGTCGAGCATTTTAACCCTGTTATGACTTTCCACTCCATTTGTGATCATTTAAACCAAATCCCAAGTACATAATATACTTTAAGAGTAAAGAATTAGGTTACATATAATTCCCCCTTTTTCCCTTGTAATTAGATTGTTATAACAGATGCAACAAAACAAGAGAACAATCAAGAACACTAGAACAACTTTGGGGGAATCAAATTTTATTAGCGCTTGGAACGAATCAGAATTATTAACAGAATGAATATAAGGTGTGTATATATATATATATAACCAAACAACCAAACGGACTGGACCCAAAAATAGGTCCAAAATCAAGATCCAAAATAAAAACAGACACGGTAACTAATATATACCGTAAGTTCAGCGAAACGCAACATAGTCGAATCGCCATAGATCGAAGACCTGATTCAATGCATCCCAACATAGATGTTAGAATCTCTCTCGAACCAAAAACAGAATTATGTGACATATAATTAATTCCCTTTAATATGTTGTGAAAGAAAAAAAAAAAAAGAATAATTTCCGGCAATAGCACGTACTTCGCTCGTCAGCCATGCATGCAAAATTGTATTATGCATTTGTATTAGTATAATGTTTTTTACACAACGGAATCTCTCACCAATGGGTAGCTCTTATTATCCATATTTATTGTCTATAGCAGGTTTTGTATTATAGATATAAAGATGAAGCAGAGTTCAAACTTTATGGCGTATGAGCAGTCGCCCTCGAAATCAAAACCATATAACGAAGCATAGGGGTCAGCCTATCATAGTATTGCCAGATTACGATCAATCATCAAGCCTACGCATAATCACTGCTGTGACATGAGTGCATAACCCCCCGGAAGGCCCAAGACATGTATAATAATGTTCATCATCATCGTCATCATCCTCTCCTCCTCCAATATGGAAGCATCAAAAGGTCCACAATTTCAATCCATGATTGCAAGCCAGCAAGTGCATCGATACCAGCAGCAAGTTTCTGATTTCAGGCCCACGATCGTAATTTCGTTGCCTTGCATAATTTAATGTACTAAAAACTGGCTGTGCGCAGGTAGCAAGTATTATTCTACAAGCCAGCAATTGTTGACAACGGTGGTTGGTGGATCCATTTAAGAGGCAGCAGAGAACAGTTGCTTGGATCTATCATGGACCGCCATAATAATTAGCAAGACTTAAAGCATTAATTTTCATGGAGTTTCTCTCGACTACATTGTCTGCTTAATTTAAGACACATAGACATGAATTGAAAAGGTATTATGGAGAGTATTAATTTGTACTCTAATTCTACTAAGTATATCTTTCATGCATTGAGTGTAACCTACCATAATCCAGTACAGCATATTCCAATTAATCAACTCATCTGCAAATCACATTCACTCGCTTGGAAATCAAGCTAAGAGGTGCTGGCTGTTCATTAGTGATAGTTGGCAGCATTCATTTTCTTTTTCTTTTCTCCTCCCCCTCCTCCTCCTCTCTTCAACGTTTCTAGCTTGTTAAATATGCATATCAGACATTTTGTGGATTGCATCGATTAGAAGTCTGAACCGTCCCCAACTGATCAGTGAGAAAATCTGATGAAACTTTTCAGACACGCCGGCCGGAAGGATAAACACAGACGAAAAATTAAGAGTAAATTATATCCACTATTTGATATCGTAACAATTTACACAAACCCCCTCCCCCTGACAAACTAGTAGTCGTATGTATAATTTATGGATAGATCACTTGTTAGATTGAAAATAATTGGAAAGAATCACCCAACCTCTATTACGATCTCCTGATGATAACCCATCATGTTGTAAAAAGAAAAACTGGAAAAGAAAAGATGTGTACGCTTTCAAGGGCATCTTGAATTTCTTCCGGGTCCTCCATAGTAAAAGTAATTCCCCCAAACGCGATTAATTCCACCTTGAATATCATAGCAATTAGGATGATCCGCTAATACTCGAAGGTTTGATAATGGGATTAAGCTATTATCCCAATCCACCACTTGCAAATTTCGGAAATAAGATGCTTTACCAAAACCTTCCCCAGCAAAATGTCCACTGCCCATTTGGGTGGTTGTATGGAAACCCGACCTGCTGTTCACCACTTCTCCTCCAAATTGTACCATACTCGCTGAATTCCTAAGGTGCGTAAATAAAAAAGATGGCCAGTAACCCACTAATATCCCACTTCCGAACTCCAGCCACCAATTCCCATGCTTCGGATCCTGCAAAATTAACATAATAAATTGCTAGCTAGTATCATAATGCTCTAGAGCTTCATTCTATTCTGTTAATTTGCTCATGAACTATATACCAATACCTATATACTATATTATTCTGCCATTACTACTAATAAAACTACTGCTTTAGTTCTTAATTGCTAGACAACTGTTTTTGGTCCCTCCACCTCCTCCAAAAAAAGAAGCAAAAAATCTTAGCTTATGTGGTGGACAAAAATGGTAGTAGTGTTTGCTTGCAAAGGAAGGCCAACAGAATCTGAGAAAGTAGGAAAAAAAAAGAAGCATAATTGTCAATCTAGTAGTATAGTAGTAGAAGCAAAGCTATTCAGCAGTCATTCTCTGTGGTGAACTGTAACATTCACGGCACGCGTACAAACAATGACCTAACAAAAGTGTACATATATGTTAGCTGCTTGACCTACATCCTGTGGGATAACGCCTCCAACTTCCAAAATACCTAGGATGTATAAAGCTTCTTGTCTTGGCACTAATACCACCAAGTCCTTCTTTTACTTTTCTTTTTTGGCTAAACGTGATGGTGATGATCATGGTGATGTTGTCGGAGATGGCTTTTTTTTTTTGGTTGGGGGGGGGGGGTGTGTTGGTTGAAAAATGAGAAGATGACTAAGTTTAGTTTGTCCCCCGTATTTTATAAGAGAAGGTGGAGATATGGTGGTAATATACATACAGATGACAGACAACGTTCTCTCTCTCTCTCTCTCTCTCTTTTTAAAAAAATATATATATATACATACATATCTGGGATTTGGCTCTATTGAAGTAATGCGGTTGAAGTGTATTTATAAAAAAATTGAAAAAGATAACAGACAAAGTTTTTTTTTTTTAAAAAAAAAAATAAATCACATGAAAAACTGAGTTTTCAATGCAATATTTAGTGATCCTAGTCTAACCCTTCCATGTGAATACCATCCATATTCAAGAGACTCAAAGGGAAAGGCAAAAATAATCTCGAGGAGATATTTTAATGATTCTACTAGGCCCACTTGAACCTTGATTCTTAGACTTCTTTAGTAGTAGTTTTACAGTCAATGCGTGTTTTTTTTTTCCGGGAAAAAAAAAAAACTTTCTTTGTTCTCTCTCTCTCGAAGGTCAAACATAGTATGCATACTTAGTTAGAACTTAGAAGTGAAGAATAATGCACAAGTTTCTTGTTTTCCAAGAGAAAAAGACAACAAAAATCTCTTTGAATTGAATCACAACTTTTGGATTATGATTTTGACAAGTGACAATACAAAGTGCATGTGAAAAGTAGAATAAAAATGCTTAAAGGTAAATTTAGTAGCAGTAATAGTTAGTTACCTTCCAAATTAATAAACTGATATCAAATTGACCACCATTATACGAAGACGTGGGAGAAATTGCAGCTCCGATTGCTATTCGATTATTGGTCTGGACAAAGCCTGAGCATAGCAAATTATAACAACCTGTGGCTTGATATGCATCGCTCTGTACAACACACTCATTGAATTAGCTAGCTTGATAAATTTGGTCAAATTAATTACGATTAATCATAAGTTCGTTAAAGAAGATGAATGAATGAATGGCATTAATTAATTCCACTGCCACTTAGAAGACACTTACTGTCCAATATGTAAAAAATCTTGGATAGTTGTCCCCGTACAGCTCTGGGCTAACCTGCGGGAATTAAATGAATTTAGGATCTATTTATGGCTCCATACACCCAACCAAAAAAAAAATAAAAAATCAATGAATTAGAAAGGTGGTTGAATATGTAATAAGTGCTTTCGTTACCAATTTTGAGCAACCAACCATTCACACTACCTTCTATCTATGTATGCTTTCCAATCAAAAGAAGTAGGCTGACTTCCTATTTCAATTTGAAATATGAATTGTGGTAAATATTTGTCTCTGTGAAAATAAACCATGCAGATTATTTCCTATGTTTAAAAACCATGGTACGTAATTGATCCCTTGTGATCATTAAATGTCATACATGCTAGGTATTTGCAAGATATTAATTTCTAGGCAATTAGCAAGATACATGCACTTTTGCTTACTAAATAGCAATTAATTTACGTAATTTGAAGTTAGTAATCAGCAAAAATCTGCCTTACACAAGTAGTTTGTACTTGACCAATCCATTTCAATCAGGTTTTAAGTTAAAAACTAGCGTTAAATTCTTTAGAACTGAGATAGATAAACAGAAAAAAAAAAAAACATGCCTGCCAACCAGCTTCTATAGTGTTAAGATCATCATTGAAGGAGCCGGCAATAACCCACATCTGCGATAAGCTGAATTCATACTGACTAGCAACTCGAGGTGCCCACACATTTATGCTTGCCTTTGCTCCATAATATTGATCTCCAGTTACATATCCCACAGCATGCTGTTGAAAAAACACACACACATATATATATGAAAATTAAGACACTATGGAATTTCAAATTTACCCTTTTGTACGTATAATTTCTCCAACAACCAAGTTACTGGTCCTAAGTTCCTAGCTATGTGCTCATATTTCATCGAAGCAATGTGCCAGCTATTTGCTGGAAATAATTTTTACTCATAATAAATACAGACTTACGAGTCAACTAATAAGCGAGTGATTCAGAGATTCATGCATTTAATTGGGGAACCGCGTATTCTTTCCTTCCAACTCAGTGAAAGAATGAAAGGTGAAAGAGCCATGAAAGTCAGTAAAATGCTGAAAAAGAAGTCTGACACGAATTTGTTGCGAGAAGTAAAGAGCCACCAGCGGTAAAGTTTCCACATTTACTCGCAATTTTTGACCATAACTTGTCTTTTTCAGTTTTGTTTCCCCGAATGGATGGACCTTAATTTAATTCCTCATTTCAAAATTCTGTTAGACTTGAGCACTGACCTCATGGCCATTGCTGGTGGTGTCTCTTCGAATAGGCCTTCGTAATTTTCTTGCAAATCTTCCGATCGAATTAGCTCTCAAGATATCCTGTTCACTTGTTCTTCGGATTGGAACTGTACCTTCAGGGCATGATTCACCAGACATGCTCCACAGTTGGAATTCTTCTGGTAAAATGCCAGTTGTATCATGTCCTTTTGGCCTTTCAGGTGGATCCTACAAATTTATGAACTTCTTGTTAACGTTGAAATTAATGTTAAACATGTCCACCACCACAAGAGGGAAAGAAAAAAAAAAGGCGTAATACTAACTCTTTCATCATAATAATTCAACTAAATAGATGATCTCGTACCAATGGTTTCTTCCCTTTCAATTTAGCATGATCAAAAGCTGGTTGATGATGGGACAATACACAATCTATTGTATCACCATCCGGACTCTGCTCACCCAGACAATCAAGAAAGAAGATGAGAGAAATGAGAAAAAGAAGGCAAATTAACGAAGCAATTTTATTTAATGGAAATAGGTATTGGCACTTACCTGGATTGTCTTGACAGCTGGCTTGTTGACTTTCGTGAGATGGGCTCTAATCGTTTTTAGCTTCTGTGACTCCTCCCCCGGCCGGAAAGTTTGATTGGCTTGATGGCTGGAGTTTCGGGATTCAAGAGAATGAGCAGGACAAACAGAGGAGGTGAAGAACAGAATGCAAACAAGAATATAAATGATTGGGGGAATGATCATGTTGCAGCTGCAGCCACAAGGAGAAGAATAATCCATTTTCGATGAGGGGTTTCTTGTATGTCTTGTTGCTTCTGACTCTTCTTGTATAAGTGAAACCGTCTGTGCTTTTGTACATTGAAATTGTCTTATTCTTCTCCGGTGCTGTTGATCAAGATTGCGCCAATTATTATCCTTCAGCTTAGTATTTGCCAATTGCAGCACAGCTCCAAGCAAATCCATCCAACACAAACTGACTATTCTAAGCAAGCTATATTCACACTTCCACCATTGCCACCATTTCCTAAGCTTCTATTCCTCGGTTCTGATATATGGCCTGACAATTTGCAACTCCAAGGCAAGAGCTAGTAGTAAAGAAAACAAAGAAATGGATGGAATGGGAGGTTGCGTTGGTGTAAGTGCGTTTTTCTAGAGTTATACCCATGTGGCTGTGGGGAAATAAATACTGGGGTTTTGAATTGTGATCAAGACATGCATTATTCTTTTTTTTTTTTCTTCTTCTTTTTGAAAACTCGGAAAGGGAAGAGAAGGGATCAAGGGAATTGAGTGGAGAGAGAGAATGAATAGGGGGGAGAGAGAGAGAGAGAGAGAGAGAGAGAGGGGCGTGTGGGGGTTGTGTTTCCAGTCTCCGATACAAAGACTGAAACTTTAGCTTTTCTGTGTCAATTTTTATAGAGCATAAACACAATGGATGGATGGATTCTACAGATTTCTGTTATTCTTTACTTTGGCTTTGTAGACAGATGGGAATTACACTTGGATTCTGGGGTTCCAAAGTTCTTTGCTTTGGGTGTTTCTCTTTCCCACTTCCCTAGATGTTCCTTGTGTCAGCTCCCATCTCTCTCAGCTACCATCTTATTTTACTATTTCACATACCTTCCATATTATTTCTTTACTGCTAAGCTACATTCTCTTTTCCATTTCTAGCTTCCAGTAGTTAAATTAGTAGTATACTCCTATTCAGCTATTCTTTTGCATGTAGTTAAATTAAACTTAGCAAATCAAGTCCTTCAAAAAAAAAAAAAAAAAAAAACTTAGCAAATCAAGTCCTGCTAAGCAGGTTCAACTCGAATTAATAATCAGTTTCTGACGAGCCAAACTCAAACTCCAATTATATTGAATCTAGGCAGCATTACATATATGTAATTCCAGACAAATACAATATTAACAGTTTGAAGCTTTTTGATGGCAAGCAAATAGTAAGAGTACTTTCTTGCATATACCTTTTCAAAGCTGTCGTTTTCTGTGATTAAAGCTTAATTCTTAATGCAATTTGGGTACGCCCTGCTGGCACGCGCATCTGCTTAATTAGACTGCATGCTCAGTGCAAAGCACCCATGCATGTGCATGCGTTTCTGGATTTTGCTTATGTTTTGGGGCTGGGGGACTGAGGCCTTGGTAAACCAAACATCAAGAAAAAATTAAAGAAGAAGAAGAAGAAGAAGAAGAAGGTAATCATCAAGACAATTTCACGAATCAAGGATTGCATTACTTACTAGTAATGGATGCCAATTCATGGGTAATTAATTGAGAAGAAAAGGAGAAGAAAGTTTCTAGGGCTTTGTCCTATAATCCTATGTAGTAAAATATATATATATATATATGTATGGTTGTCAAGTGTCAGAAAAACATTTTCTTCTAAAGAAGAAGTGTGAAGATAACTGACACTTATCTACTTATCTTTTTTTTTTATTCCATACAAATCCATAAATTGTGTTATTATTAATTAGCCAGAATTTTCTTTGCAACAGCTTAATGGGATTGATTTATCAGTACTAGAATAGGTTCGAAAATATAGTGCATGTGAGAAAAGTGACTTTAATCTGGAACATGAGTTGATGAAAATGAAAAGAACTGCCCTTTCTCTTTCCTTCTTAAATCCCTTAATCAGTATTACGTCGCAGCATGGAAAGGGAGAGCATAGCTGATTTGCTCAGGCCTGGAGTGATGAGACAATAGCCATGAAACTTACGACAAGAACTTTAAAGAATGATGTAAAGGGCGGTGTTTTTTCAATTTATGTCATAGAAAAAGTTTTTCTGGTTTAGAATAATTGTTGAGCCATCTCATTAGATTAATCTGTCAAGAACATTAATTCTGGAGATGATCTTTGTTTAATGCTTGTTTTTGTCATCTAAAGCCGTTAATTACACACACACACACACACATTGTCGATCGTGAATTGACGAATTGAACTGATCATCCCCTAGGCTAGAAGTGCTCTCTCGTCGAAAGCCAAGAAGATGGCCTATCAGTACAGTATTAGCATCTCATCATCTCTGAAAACTGCGTTTGGCCTACTACAGCAAGTCGCAATCGCAATCTCGTTTAGCTGCTAGAATTTCAAAAATGGTGACGAAAAACCTGGTCTTTTTGCCATGCCCATCTATCCATTCCATGGACTAATTATTTCACGAGCTTCTCCATCTCATCCTCGATCGAAAATCAACTTTTCTCTTGAGTTTTGGCGTTTTGCTCAAGTTCAGTGCTGCTTTTACGAGTATGCCTAATCACACCTTTTAGCACCCTTCGTATATGCTTGCCACCAACTCGATCAGTTGCCATCCCCCCAACCATCCCCTTTGGGTACTCAAAAGATTCTAACTCCCTTTTTCTTCAAAAAGAAACCATGAAATTAATTCCTGTTTACTCTTGCCTTGGTTTTTATGATTGTCAGTTAATCCAATGCACTGTACTGATGGGTTGTCACCAAAATATATATATATATATATAATGTGTATCATCTTGTTAATATTTAGAGTCTTGTCAGGGTTAAAAAAACTAACAAGCAGTAGCCAGCTGTAATCCTAATCCGTGAAGATTTATGCACAAGCTGCTTAATAGTGAATTATAATTTTCGGTGGAAGCCAGTCAAAGTTAAAGATTTACAGCTTCCATTTTGATCAATCACACGTACGGCATCGGCATTGGCTTGAAAAATACTTTTCGTGAAATCTATGAAAGCAACGGGAGTAAGTAAATAAACTTCGTCCTAAGCCCGAAGGTATAAAAACTAAAAAGGCTGCAAAAGCCATGGGTACTTTCTGAAGAGGGGACAGCTAATAAATTTTGAAAAAGAAAAAGGGCCCAGAATTTAATTATAAGGGCACATGTCCAATTCAAAAATATTATTAAAGCGGGGAAAAAAAATAAAGAAAAAGCTCCAAAAAAGATTGAGTGACTCTTAACATGCGTGGGGGGTTGGATCATGGATGGATGTGCATTTTGTGCAATGCTCTGTTTGTGACCAAATAGTTTACTTTGGGCAAGCAATCTTTAGTTGGCGATGGACCTAACTTTCAGTTTTTCTTTTCTACACCTTTTCTTGTGGTACTTTGGGCAAAATTTTGAGTACAAGATATTCAAAATGAGAGCATTAAAATGCATAAAACTTTTATTAAAAAAAAAAAAAAAAAAAGGGGTGGTAACTCATGATCAAGTTGTTTACATAATCACACGTGTTGAGAGTAAGAGGACTAAGATCACACAACTTGTTCCATTACGTACTGTACCCATAAAATCTAAACTTGTTTAATTAAACAAACAAGAATTGGAGCCCAGTCGGTTGCTGCCTGGCAGTATTATTATTGACCGAAAAGCAGCCACTCGAAGTATGAATGATAGGCATTCCAAGTTTAAACCTCTAATAACAAAGGTCCAGTTCTTGAGGGCCAACAAGCAAAGCCAGCCCATTAGGCTCTTGCCCCACCTTCAAAGCTTTGCAGCATAGGCTTGAGCAGAAATTGGCTGGGACCTATATATAATTTCTTCAGTTTTCCTGGATGGTTGTTTGACCAAATCTCTAGTTACAAGTCATAGCCAAGAAAACAGACCAGGACCTGAAATTCCTAGCTAATAGGAGCCCACAAGTGAACAAAAGAGAGCTTTATCTACGAGGCCTGAAATTCTCTACCTGGTATTTTCTTTCTTTCCCCGTCTGTAACAATAATGAAAATGGTGACAAAAGAGAATAATATATTATTATTATTTGAAGTGGAAAGACAATAATAATAATATATTTAATAACTGGTTTGAATTCAAAGGGCCGGCCTGTTATCATGATTACACAGATGTATTTCCTTGACTTAAAAATCTTAAGTTCGCTATGCCGCAAATTTGGTCCGACTTCAAAAGCAAAGAAACCTTTGCCGTCATTATTCTATTCCATCCCACGCAAAGTATTCTGAAACCTAGAAGAGGCGCAAAAACGCACGCTTCAAGAAAGCACGTATTCTGAATTAATTTGTATAATTGTACGTAAGCAACTTCTCCAGTAGATGAATTTAATTAGCGCTAAGGAAGGAATATGGGCTAACCAGCACGTAACACTAGTTTTTGCTCCCGAGTACATATTGTTGGAGCGTTTCAGCAGGTTCTTGTTAAAACCAGTTGTTATCGTCTCTTACCCAGCAGCTTAGGGTGTGTGGTATGCTGATGACGATCGAAGTCTTGGAATTTTAGTGTTTGATGTTAAAAGTGCGGAAATTCTTGCAGTTTTTGTGTTTGGCCAATGAAAGAAGCTTCGTGAAAAGATATTTCCTATCGAATTGATTTCCAGTAAGGATAACATCAAATCACCTTTCTTGACTTTGGGAAAACATCTATCAGACATTAAAGGGATGGATGGCATCTTATCTTAGTATAGTATATATCCGTCATGGCACACATGCCACGAAAAGCGGTAAAATGGAATCATGATAGATAGAGAGTGGTACAATTTGGAAGATGGTTTATTTGGAACGTAGGGACAGGAACTTTCGGAAGCATCTTTCCAAGTTATCCACAAATCAAAGATGGTTAAGTCAATATTCTAGCTCTTTACTTTTTCACTGCTTCCATTTTCTTACACACATTTTGGCTCCGTATTAGTTACTTACTCTAGAGCAATTAACAGCTTGTTGGAGAACTGAACTAATTGGAAATGATTAAAACCACACATTCCTATCGTTAAAAAAATCATTAAGAATCTTGTACACAATTCAAATTATCATATATACATGCATCGAGCGGGACACAACTTAGAGAATGTTTTTCTTCTATTACTAACGCATTTTGTAGCTTTCGAGCTAGCTATTGGTTAATCGGCACATTACCCTGCATGTGTGCATCATATATATTACAACTTTTAAAGGGACAATTAAAAAGGTCAAGACGAGAGACGATTAAAGGTTTTGGCTAAGGAAAAGGTAATGTTATGCAATGATTGTGTCGAAGCAGCAAGGTCAGCTTTCTTAACCAATTCAATGGAAGTTGAAACAAATAGCAAAAAAAAAAAAAGGGTTGGCAATTCGCAATTTCGCAAAGAGAGGGACAGGGGCATTGAGAGATGTCGCTGACCACATCCATCAGAGCAGTCCAGTCCAAAGTGGAGATTTCCCTAAACCAACCATGATTTGAGAAGGAAGGGTGGGCTGGTGGGAACCCTCGGAAAGAAATGAAATGCTGCTAACCTTTCTCTAATCTATCCATCCATCCTTCCACTTCCTTTTTATTTTAGGTGTGTGACTGTGTGTAGCATGCTCGCAGCATCATGAATCATCCCTTCTCATGGGCCAACTCCCCATTGCATCATCATGATGCACTTGATGATGTTCCTCGTGCCAACTACATATTCCTGAACAAATTCTTTTCTTATTGCTTCATATTGTAACATCCCATTATTACGATCCAACTGTTCTTGATTGATTGCATGCACCTCCTCTAAGACTCTATTTTAAATTCATCATCGCTGTCTACATTAATTAACACAATTCGACCGTCTTGTATACGGGTAGGGCTAACGAATGACACTAATCTTTTCACCCGAAAATAAAAGAGGTTTGGTAATTTTTACTTTTCCGCAATATCGTGAGGTCTGCATCCCAAAGTACAGTATGCATCAGGGGTGGCAGGACCGGCCTGTTGTTTTTTTGTTCATGATATGAACTATTAAGGCATATAAGCATCTAATTAGGCACCTCCTCGTTCTCGCCAAAACCGGAGTTTAATATATTAAAGGTTTACTTTCTCGAAGATATATTTGAAAAATTTTGAGAGTGATTGTTACCAGCTTCTTATTAAGGGCGGTGAATAGTATGGAAAGGGTTTATTGAAATGAATCAGCTTAGGACTAAAGCGAAACATATTCAGCCACCGAAAGGTCCTTCTTATAAGGCATTAGGATAAGAGTCATTGACAATACATATTTACTGACTATGACAAAGAATCAAAGATAAAAAAGGTTAAAGGATCGAGACTTCCATAGATTTGGTCGGCAAGTTCCGCAAATTCTCATTCTCAGTAACGTGTAAAGTCGGAAATTTTGACAAAATTTTAGGGTCCGTTGGGTTGGCCTATTGAAAATATTTTCTTACTTTCATCTTCTGGTGTTTGTTTAACTTTTGAAATATTTTCACTTTTACCTCTATCTTTACTTTCTACGCATTATAACCACATACTTCTTTTCATGCAAAATAAAAAAAATTTATCTCGTCGTTTAACTTTAAAAAAATCTTAGAGAAATGTATATACGAATAAAAAATTTCTCCTTGAGCAATAAACAAATTGCTGGCCATTCATTGTCAAATATCAATCACACGCAATGCTTATTGTGACATATATCTTGCACTCTCATTGTTGAAAGCTTTTCTAGAAAAAAATGTCCCTATTATACATAATTAATTACTAGAATAGGGTCAGCAGGGGTAAGGCCTTTTTTTTTTATTTTGAACACGCTATAAGTTTTAAAAATTTGACAAATACCTCTATCAAGCGAGACGCGTTTGTTTCGGAAAATAACTTTTACATAGGATGAGTGAAAATCTTTTACACAATAAAATATTTTCAGTAACTTTTGTACAACCAAACACAGTAAGTTAGGAAAATATTTTCTTTCACCTAAAACAAACGGATCCTCAGCGAAAAATTTACGAGGGGCAAAGTTTTGGTAAGGTGCTGATCTTGGATTTGGGCGTGGACATTGAAATAGAGGGATGTCTCATCGAATTAGAGGCCCATTAACTAGGGTTTAACCCATGTATTCTCGGTCCAAAGGATTGGGCTACATTTTATGAACTACTAGTTTTTACTCATTAATTATTGTCCCTAAAACCCAACTCAAATGACAAGGGTATTATCTTAAACCACCAGCCTTTGAGCTGGTGGCCACCACCGATGCATTAAGGCTTGGTAGGGTAGGAGGCAAGGGTTCAAACCTTACCTCCCATCAATTTGTCACAATTAAATGTGACCTTGCTTGAAAAATCCATACGGGTGCGTAGTGCATTCGTCTGGTCCGGTGGTGGTTCAGTCCCCTCCGGATTACTCCAGGATCTCTTCAGACCCTCCCCCTCCCCATAGTATAGGTAGCTATCGTATCGACCAAAAAAAAAAAAAAAGGGGGTATTAACTTGCTCTGAATTCTCTGGTTAAAATCTTCTTTTAACAAAGAACAAAAATCATCATGAATAATCTTGTCATGCAAAGCCCATTACGTACGACTTATTATATTTAATTAGCAAAACTATGAAAAAATGGTTTAGAATCCTGGTTGTATCTTTGACAAAGGTTAACTGTCTCGTGGAATTCCTTTTTTTTTTTTGGGATTTTTTTCATTGTTCTACTATTTCCTTTTCGTGGAAGAGAATAGTTCTACTATATTCCCTTTTCTTTTGGGTTTTTTTTGAATAAATATTGTAGTGGTTTAGATACGAGAATTTTTACGTTATCTGTTGCAAAAATTAAATCGGCTATGCTGAATGAGTCCAGGCCAACTTGCTATATCAAAATATATCTTTATATGTAGAAGTGGAGAGAAAATTGCAGGTGGGGTGCAAAGTATAATTAAAAGTTGCTTTGGTATAATTAAATTGCTTTGGACTTTCCTGCCACGAACCTCCATAGTGCTGCATAAGAATTTTATGTTTGTTGTGGATTCTGTGGACGAGATTGTGACCGTAATGCACTGAGGCCATGGTCGTGCTAGTTGTTAACTTATTCTTTAATGCGAAGGAGGGAATGAAGGCCAATAGCACGTAAGAGGGGCAAAAGAAATGAACAAGCTGATTTGTAAATTAAAGAAATACACTATCAAAACCTTAGTTTTGTCGAGGCAAAGGAATATTATTGAATCTATTTAAAGCGGCCAAAGCTCAAACGCGACATGCAAATCAGTTTTACAAAGTAGGAAACAGATTTTAACAATAAAATGGAGGAGTTGGAGGAGAAAACATGGATGCTGATGATTTTAAAATTCCTCATCATCTTACTCACAATGATCAACTACGTCAGCAGCATTGAGTCTCCAGAATACCGTGTGATTCTGCGGTACTTGGAATCTGATGTTGAGATCAGGTTATACGAAGAATCCTTCTGGGTGTCGGCTGCTGTTAGAAATGCTACTTCATTCGAAAAATCCACAAAAGATGGTTTTCACAGGTCACTATCCTCTCTCCAGTCTTCACATCTTGAATTTAAGTATAGCAGCCACTGGCCACGAAGGCTTTTTTCTTTCGTTTCTTTCTATGCCAAGTATCTCCATCCGCTTCACGACGGTTGCATGAGATCATAAGACACAATGTACTATATATATATTCATCGTAGTCACCAGCATAGTGCATCTATAGACTGCCATTTGAATATTTCTTGAGTCTATGTATGTTCCTTGCACTTACAAAACGATAACGGGGCATGTAATTCGGTCATGTGACCCTCTTAGTAGTAGGTTGAGTCCATCCTTTTTTCCGACAAAAATTGGTTAGTTATCTACCCAGATTTAAGACAAAATCCATGACGATCTTGGTTCTCTTGAAGAAATAAAACCGTGAGAACCCATGACCATGGTCTAAAGCAGAATGATCCCCATGACGAAAAATACTCATGCGGACCATCTCAGACAATCCAATTACAGCTTTGACCCCTGTTTGTCGATATAGCTCGTTAACTTTTACGGTTGCAACCTTGATCTCAGGGTGTATCAATATATTCGCGGTGCCAACCTCAACTCTTCTCAAATGGTGATTACTGCTCCTATCCTAACCACTATCGTGCCCGGAACACATGGCTCTGACTGTTATGTCAAGTTTTACCTGCCAGCAAAATATGCGGCTGCACCGCCACTGCCCAAAACTGAACTTAATTTGCAGTTTGAAAGATGGAATAGCCAATGCTTAGCAGTAAAAAGCTTTTCTGGGTTCGCTCAAGATGAAAGCATCAGAAACGAAACTCAGGCTTTCGTGGTCACGTTAAACAAAATCTTCAATGGAAAGACGAAAATCTTGGAAGATACAGCTATCTTCTCGATTGCCCAATATAATGCCCCCTCTCATCTTTCTGGACGTTTAAATGAAGTGTGGCTGAATGCATCAGCTTTTGCTGTTGAAGGATGCCCTTCTTTCTGAAGTACTCTATTTGCTATTCCTCTTGTATGGGAAATAAATTTCTGTTATATATTAATCATATTGAACTTTTACATTGTAATATCCATTACAGCTCTTGATGGGACTTGTTATTATTACAACAACAATAGAATTGGATATCAATCAAATGTCCCAGAAAAATGGGTTTCGTGTTATAAATTTGCATGGCAACGTTCAGCTTCCGTACCAACTTCACCCTCAAGTCCCATTAGTTACTGCTCCACCTTCTTGTTCGCTTTGCCCACAAGACCCCTAAGACCACCACCCCTTCTGGATGAGTATTGAGGGTTGTGGTTGTTGAATTGTTTTATACGGCCATATCTAGTGCAAACAAGTAAATATTCTTCTGTATATTGATGCATAAGACGAACAAACCAGGACATTAGCTCACATCTGGGGCCTGGTCTGGACAACATATATTTTTCCATCCTTTACCACACCTTCAATGTCTTGAGAAGATCCATACAACTCTTCAATCGCATTTCCTGCACGTGCTATGTTAGAGAGGATTGATTGGCGGAAGTTGCTATCAGTGATTAATGGGTCTGAGGAGTAATCAAGCACAATTTTCTCCTCTTCATCCATTGGAACACTGCAGCAAGCAGAACAAAAATTCGTGTTGATCAGTGTGAGGAACTAGTTCCTTTCTGCAACGTCTATAATTCAGAATCTCAGATGATGCTAGTAGTTAGAGGGCTTGGAAGTGAAAGAAAACATTTTTGAATAACAGTGCAACTGGAGAAGCTCATTTGGTTAGGAAATCACTTTACCTGTCATAGAGACCAGCACCAGCATATCCTTCAAGATCTTCACCATTGGAATCTGATCGGAAGATTATAGATCGCCTTATGAAAAGTCCTATGGGTTTGCTGGGGTAACCCAATACCTGAAAATGCTCAATCCATGAATGATGTCGATAGACATGACAGTCGATTGTAGCAACCACCTTTTACAAAACAAAAGATGAAAACCAAGGAATCTATGATGAAATAAATTTAGAAGTGTCAAAATAGGTGACTCGGGCAAATTTGAGCAGGTCATGTTGGATAATGGATATAATTAGGTTAACTCATTTATACCCATTTAATAAATGGGTCAAAATAAATCAACTCATTTATACCCATTTAAGAAATGGGTATGATACCCATTTACAACTCACTTGAAATTCTATTTTTAAATGGGTAAGCCAAGTCGATCCACTACCTACCAATTAAATGGATTTCATTGGGTACCCATTTATACTCATTCAAAGATCATTACATACCCAAGTCCACTTATTAGTGGGCAGGTTTGGGTGGGTCAATATAATTGGGTTGAGGTTGACACCTCTAAATAAATTCAACAGATAAATTACTTGCTCCTAACTGGTTCCTTTCGTGTCAGGTGGCTAATCAACAATGACAGTTCAAAAGGTAAGTAAAATCCACAGCTGTGACAGGTAAGAAACTTGCAACAAGAATGAGTAACGTATAATCAGATGATTGCAGAAGACACTGATACACAAAATGACAGATCAATTTGTCTAAGCTGCATATTCTAGAAATCACATTTTGTATTACTTTGAGTTTTGTGTGTATATGTTCAGGCTAAATTTTGTTCGCTGCCAGTATAAACATGGATAAAATTTGAACTAAAACACAGGCATAAGATGTGCAAAAATTTTAGATATCAAGATTGAAGTATTCTGCCACCCACCTCAGGAGAATTGAGACTATTCTTCTTGCAGATAAAACTCAGCGCGCGGCCTGGATAAGCTCCTACAAGCGTCTCTCCGAGACCCTTGACCACCTGTTCCAAAAATGTTAAAACATTCATTACTTATTTAACAGTACTTCTGAAAAGGCATGCTGATTAACAGTCTGCTGAATAAACTAGCTTCACATCCACTACAGTAGAATATCTTAAGGGTGTCGTCACTAAAAACTTTGTTCTAACTGGTAATGTACTAAAACATTGTCTGCGACTCCATAAATAGGAGAATTTTTTCCTTCTAACTGAAGCCCAGAAGGTAATGGGACATAAAATTCCCTTGGTTTTGACATACAACAACACTATTGACTACAAGTTAGGTTTACCTCAGCATATATTTCTGACGAGTCTCCTGAAGATGGATTAGTAGTATGGATAACAAATGCATAATCTGCATTTATTATCTCTTGAACAAGGACTGCCATGCTGAGATAATCATGGTCAAGTCTGACCTTTCTTGTGCTGAAGTATGCTCTCTCATTCCACTTTGAAGCCCAGACCTGGCAAATGAGAAACCACAATGTTCAAGCCCCAAATGCTCTTAATACACTAGAAACACTTAAACCAGTAACAAATATTCACAGATCACCTTGATATTACCAAAAGAATCCAAGCTATAAATCTAGAAAGAAGAATTACTCTTTTCCACTATCTACACAAGACAACATGAAGCTAATTCTAGTTTTGAATCTTCTATTCCTATATGGAACTCAAAGAATTCTTCACCTCAAAGAGACAAAAACAAAGTAATGAAGATAAGCTTGCAGCGAAAGACATATAGCTCCACCTTTTTTATAGCCATCCAAGCTTGTTCCCATCGTTGCTGGCCTTCATCGCCAGGCCAAGGAAGGCCAGAACTCTGCATCTTGTCTTTAAGTTCCTTTACCTATGTAAATCTCACGAAAGGTGTTAGCTGAGGTTGAAATCCAATAGTGATACTATACTTAAGACTCGTGATGTGCTGAAAGGTAAACGATGTGTTCCTCAGGTCAGGTTTATAGAGAAGACAAAACCATGACAACTCCCAAAATCAAGGCCCAAACAAGATTCAAGGATTATCAACTCTAGAGCACCTATATATAATGAATTGAGAGAGCAAACATCCTTGAGGATCCAGTATGAAAGGTGGAAGAGCTGAAACCAACCATATAAACTTAGAAGGCGTGTGTCATCGAGGATATTTCTTTCTTGAAGAAAATTTCAAGGGAAAGATCAAGAAGCATATGCATCTCAATCTCAATTTTCAGAAGGTCAAATAATTGGACAATAAAGACAAGAAAATAACATAGCATACCAGCTGCGATGGTGCCGCAAGGTCCAAAACTGTCCTGCGAATGTCACCAAGGACATGGAAGTCTCCTCTGTGTAATTTCCTCTTCAGATCCTTGACTTTTGCTGCCACTTCCTGTCAAGTACCATTCACAATTAGAATGAAAATTAAATGCCACAAAAATAATAAAAACTACAAATAGTAATAAGAGCAAGAGAGGTGCCTTGATCTCCTCCAAATAACAAAGATCCAATCTAAGCTTATAAAGTAACAAGAAAATGAAAATGAATATTTAAGTGTCAAAAGTTACTTGAAGGGTTATTTATTTAGTTTTATTTCAGTGTAAGTATTATAATAAGCTAAAATTACCCTACAACTTTACAACATTACAGATCATCGATGTCAACATTACAGCTAAAATTACTCTACAACTTTACAACATTGCAACATTACTTGAAAGGTTATTTATGTAGTTTCTTTTCTGTGTAAGTATTATAATAAGCTAAAATTACCCTACAACTTTATTATTCATCGGCTGCATGTGAACAATTTAATAGATTATTTAATAAGCGCCTGGTTTCTAGATTATCCATGTCAACCTTACACCAAACTCAAGAATAAGCAGCTAATTTACTAACAAAGAAGCAAGTAGGTTTGCCTCTTCTATCGATTCATTATCGTTCACATTTTAAGAAAGAAATTCATTGTCTAACTAGCTACAAGTGTCAAGCAATATAGAGTCAGTTTTAAAAAAAAAAACTGCACCAGGCCAGCCATACCCTATTATTAAGAGAGGGCACACGACTTTCATTGGATAACAATACAAATGCATGAGACTCTGAATATGAATATACCTTGTTCAAATAATCTGAAAGAACTTTCTCAAAAACTCCAAATGGAAGGGCAACTGAGGTAGGGATCCCAATCCAAGATGGTACTTTTCCTTCGAGGTATGCAATATTCCGTGACTTAGCTCCAACCTGACAAAGAGGAAAGAGTATAAGTTATACACTTAAGAAGTACATGTTGGAATCTTGAGAGTATCATGTGAAAGGAAAATAAAAGAAAATCTGATGTATGAAGCCTCACCATTTCACTAGTGAATTCCTTGGATGATATTGCATATTTACCGCCAAACTGCTTTCTAACTAAAGTAATAGATGGTAACGGGCCAGCATCATTGAAGTTACTTGAACTTTTCAGCTCACTTTCTGTTACCTCACTGAAAATTTATGTCATAAACAAAAGTTAGTTTCATTTCCACAGTATGCATTTCCAGTGAACTCCATAAGAGAGGAGCTCTGCATTGACAACCACCAAATGACATTTAATCATGTGTCCTACAACAAATGTACCCAGAGAAGTATGTGATTGGTGAGCACACCTATAAATTATATCAGCGGAAGTAGGTTTCAAGCGCAAGAACTTCCCCTCCTTGGCCTGGAGATCAGCCAATATACTGGAATCAAAGCATGTAGCAAAGCATACCTATCAACACGAAGACACATTTCCAAGGGCATATTAGCGTTCAACTGTTCTCCAAAAACAATTAAACTCAGGCTGATCGAGGGCACTACCTTGCTGTTTCTTGCTCGAACAGAAACATGAGAGAGAACATCTGGCATGTCTGGTGTCAACACAGCAACAGTACCATCAGGAATTTCTTCCTCTCCTTTTACAGATTTTGCCACCAAAATTGTTTTTCTTTCATATGATTTATTCTGGACAGAGAGTAATTTATCCACAACAACAACATTTCCAACAGCTTCAACTGGACTTATAACCTGCCAACTGTGTCAAGCCATGAAAGTCGTATTACTTAACATACTCATTGAGAGATTGCAACAATAAGGTAATATGCGTAAGTCCTTTCAAAGAAGCTCTCAAGTTTTGATTTGAGTTCCAAAATCAGGCTCAAGCTCATGAGAGATGAAACAAATTCATGGTAAACCTTTATGCACTGAAATTGAAGAATACACTAATAATATTTGATGCATTAACATAATTGCACATTGAACTCTATAAGGGTGATGCATATCCAATCAACCTTCCCAAATGAGCAGTTTTTCGAAGAATAGGATCAAGCCGATTAAGGAGTGCAGATAATGAAGCAGCAGATCCTGCACGGATCATTTCTTCAGTGAATATATTTACCTGCATAAAGTAATGATAAAAGAAGAATAAGACACCAGGTGCTAGGTTCTTTAAAGTGTATAGCAATAATCATATCTCCAGGTTCAATTCAGTTAACATACAGCCCATTGGTCCACTCCAAGCTGTGACCCAAGGTACTCTGCAGTTGGCTGCAATAACTGATGGTACCACTCTGCCTTGCTTGCAAGTGCAAGTCGCGTCCTGTCAAGAACTGACTTTGCAAATAAGGCGCAGCTTTGATCTCCACCTTTTGACATGTCTAGTGCTTTATCCCATCCCTTGACAAATGTTAAGCACATTCAAGAAGTATTAATTAGTATATAAATAGTAAAAAATAAAAAATTCAAAGCACACTCATGCAAGAGCTTATGTATGCCCGTGTTGCTATTTCCTGTTATCCTTGAACTTGAGCGACTTGTGACTAACTACTGATCATTAAAAGTTCAAGCAAACAGCTGAAATGTGATTGTTGGATCCATCTTAACAACAAAGAACACTAGGCCACGATCGAGAATGCTTGTCACCTCACATGCCATGGAAAGAAGCAGATAATGCACCACACGTGAGGAAGCAAACAACTCACCTTAACTATGTCATGATAATGAAGGTGCACAACCAGACCCCTTTGTCAAGTTTCCTTAGTGCTTCCAAAACATGCTTGTCTAATTTTCAGAGATGAAAAAAGAATTTTTTATAACTTAATAACCAGAGGTTGTACAAAAATTTCCTTATGAGTTCTGATAAGCCTAAAAGTTCTGCCATTGAACATCATTAGAGATAAAGCCTGAAATTTTCAATTAATCAACCAGAAAAATAACAAGTTTTACATTCTCTTGAATTTTATAGGAATTCACTCAGACATGAAACCTAAAATACTACCAGACTTGTCAAGTGTTCTGGATCTCATGAACTTAAGATTCAGGAAAATCAAGGTTCTATATATAATACACATTAAAAGAATGGAAACAAGAATTACAGACATTGATGCAATGTTACCTTTAAGCAATAAACAAGATCTTCATTAGCATCAATTGAAAGCACGAGGTTTTCAAGGACAAGAGAGATGAAATGCATAACTTTCTGCAAAACAAGACAACAGGGTGATAAATAAAGAATTAAGCTGTATAAAGCTCTAGTAACAAAGTGGAAGAACAGAGAATCCAGATACAATTCTAGGCCCAAAATAGAACACTGATGAATCTAAGACACCCAAAAGAAGGTAAAAGGAATTCAAGGGAAAATAGTACCTCTGGACTGGCATTATTCAATTCCTCATAGCCCCTTTCTACAGCTGTTCTAACAGAAGAATCAAGAGCAAGATCCAGAAATATGAGGTCCTTAAGGCGGTTATTTGGCTTGAAAAGTAATGGCTTAAGCTCCTGACGAGCCTCAAGCAAACCCTGAAGACCATATTTTTTTAAAAAGTGTCTTAAAGGGCATAAAAAACATTATCAATCATAAAATATAGAATTTCTCAAGAAGAATTTACCTACCTCAAGTAGAGCTTCCACATTTTTATCTTCAATATGCTCTAAAACAAATTGTAGCAGTTCCTGCAAAAAGGATTCACCATTGGATAATAGAAATCTATGTAAAACATTAATCTGAAAAGGAAAAATCAAGGCCACTCAAATAAAATATATCTTTGACACTACCTGAAATCCTGATGGCAACCCTGAAACAGGGTTTATCTGCACTCCAACCATGAAGCCTTCTCCCTGATGACAATCAGTGGCTCTTTTAGGAAGAATGGCAAGAAACGCCATATTCAAGTAACACAACATATTAATCTGATTACCTCCGCTCTATAACCCATGCAATTTGCAATTGCAGACTCAACATCAGCACCAGAATGCACTGCCTGCGCAAAGTAAAAGTGAATAGCAGTTGTTATCAAATATGATACTACTACTATAGGGAAGTAAATTAGGTGACTGTCACATCATCTTTCCATATGCAGTTATGCAACCTCAAACGCATTAAGGAGACGACAGGAATAAAAGATCAATTTCCCACAACACTGCCAGAAAGGAAAGGTAACAGAGTTTCTGACTACATCATTACTTCAGATTCCATTTCACAAGTCAATACAGGAATTCCATACTCAGCATTACAGTTGTTCTAAAGGTGGTTGGGCTTCAGCGAATGAAACCACAAACATAAGGAATTTATTTCAGTCTCAACTATTAGGAGAGCTGTGGAAACATCTCAAACTTTTCAATTAGTGGTAGTCCAAAATTTTAATTGCTTATCATTACTCTTAGCAGAACACTGAAACAAACTTCAGAGAAACCTTACACATACAAGACGGAAAGAGTTATAACATTATCATGTGTTTGAAGTACCAACCTTCAGTGTTCTCATGTATTTCCCAAGATCACGTAGAAGGCCATCCTTCTGATCTCTCCTAAAATTTGGTTCAGAATGGATTGCACGATCATAACTCAAGAGGCGTTCTTTTGTTATACCATTTTCCTTGAGGGTTTTCCAGTAAACACTGATGTCCATGTCATTTTTGATATAGTCAATCAATGCCTACAAGAGGGTAAGTAAACAAATGATATATCACATCGTTAGTGAAATAAAGTGCGTAAAGGTAGAATCCAACCACGGAAAATACCTGACAGATCACAACATCATCTGGGCTTGTATTATTATGCAGTTTCTGATGCCACTCCTCCATCATTCCACCCTTACAATCATTTTTCCTCTGAAATTTTAAAGAATGCTTGCCCAAGTGAGTCACACGAAAGAGAGGCAAGAATGTGCAGAAAGAGAGAATAAAGCAAGGCTTCCAATGTCCACCTGAATAACAAGGATCTCATCCCTTATGCGCTGGCCCACATCTCCTTCACCTCCACGACCAACAGTTGACATAATCATTCGCAAAATTTCACGATATTGTGGTTGATCTATATAAACATTCTGGAGTAGTTCTGTGAGCCTGTCCTGAGCCTTGCTTATCTCACTATATAGAATGGAGATTAAGATAGTCAACATAAAGAGATAAGGACTTCACATACAGCAATATCAGAGCACAACGAAGCTGAATTTAGTTTGAGAAAAGAGGAAATTATGCTTTACAGAGACTTTTAGTAAAAGCAACAGCAGAACTTGTAAAAGTCCAAACTTATCAGTCAGTTTTCATGAATAAATTATCAAAAAACTCAAACTTTCCCAAGAGCTTATTGCATTACCGGGGCTTTACGTTGTAGTTCTTATTCCAAATCAACTGTCTAGTGGCCATAAATCTCATCCACACAAGAATCCCAGCAAAGCCCAATTCACCAGCACTCCTAGCTTCTTCTGTCAAGTCTGCTGCAATATTGAATCTGAAAGAGAGGAAAGTACACTCATAAACTGCGATTCAAAATAAATGAATAATAGAACCAGAAAATAGATTAAAATGGGTTTCTTATGACACAATGAAACATCCATCTAAATTAAAAGGCAGAGAGCACATGCAGACCGAGCAAATTTTCATCATACTGTCTGGTTTTTCTAAGACACATCAAGATCCATTCATAGAGCAAGAACTCATAATTTCAGTCCAACGTAATCTAGAATATAAGAAAAGCTACTAGTATAATAACTTAGAAAAACTCTTCCTGCATCAACAACAAAAAATGAGCAAAAAAAAGGAGAGATTTTAGAAAACAGTTATCGGCGAAGGTTAACAGTTATCGGCGAAGGTTCTATCCAACAACAATACCAAAATTGGAACCAGCAGTTTCAGGTCAACTACTCCTCATCCAATTGAAGGCAGATGATGGATCTTTACTAAGCTCCTTGGATGTCATTTGCTCAGTAAAACCCACGAAAAAACTTGATGTTCATGTTCCCACAGAATTATAGAATTGCATACAAAACCTTCAGGAAAAAAAAGGAAAGTAGGTGGAGGCTAAAAATCTACTGTATTTAGGATATTGCTTTAAGAACTTCGTCCTGACAATCTAGGAAACCTCAACAGATGTTATGCTATAGCAGAGGCACACATAATTTGTCAAATTAAAGTCCTTACCGGTGCATAAAAGATTTCTGAGCCTCACTTTCCATCTCTGCTATCTTGTCCAGCAAAGCCTTTGCTGTGCCCCTGCCATCTCCAGCAGCCTAGTTTGGAAAATAAGTCTAATCAGTTGTCACCACATCTAGAAAGTCATAGAATTTTGAAAGCAACAACTGTAAGAAGAGGTACATAAAATACGATTGGGATCTTTGGTTGCTTCGTCTCTGTGTGTGTGTGTGAGAGAGAGAGAAAGAGAGACCTGCTCGATCTGCTTAGTTTTAGCACCAAATTCAACATAAAAGTCGAATCCTTTGTTTTTTATCCATTTCCCATCAGCCAAAAGAACAAATGGCATTCCCAGATAATTGTCATCTTCAAATTCTATTTCAAGGGATTGAACCTGAGAATTGAAGCTAAAGTATGAGATTGCTATCTACAAATTTTTCATATGCTAGTTCTCTCCTGAATTATTTAGAATATAAAATTTCAAGATCACAAAAAAGCATACGAAGTTCCCAGCAGTGCACCTTGTAAGTTAAGTTGTCAGAAGAAGTTTTTGAAAATTGTGTTTCAATGGCTTTATCCAAAGAAACTGAACCAGGGGGCGATGCACTTGAAGGGGGTGCCTGCATAATTTTTCCACCTAGCTTTGTAAATAGTTAACTGAAGGTAAGATAAACGGTGCAACGGGAGACATTATTTCCCATTATACTTTTTTCTACAGAATATATCCAGCACATCCTAAATAAAATAGTTTTGAATATCTTACAATCCACTCTCCAGGTCTCCGGGATAAAGCCCAGTGAAGAATAAGTGGCTCTTTAACATCTGAGGCCAGATAAATTTTCATCTTACTAGAGGACCTTGCACTGAATACCTTCAAATAAAGCAAGGAAATAAAATTTTACCATTATAGCATAAGAGTTTACTCACTGGGGCAACACCATACACAAAATTAAATTCTCACCAGAAGTTTCCCATCAGACAGATTGTATAATTTCTTGTCCATGATGGAACCATCAACCTCTTCTTCCTTTGCCTTAGCAAATAGCTCAATTGCAGATAGCGCTTGTGGTTCTGAATAGGTCCTCTCTTCTCTAGATCGAGAAGGGTACTTATTTACAAGTTGTGTGGTGTCCCTCTTCTTTCTCCGAATTCTTTCAGCAGTAAAATAACTCTTTTTCTCCAGTTGTTTAGCAACCTTGGTTTGTATTTCTCCTTTTACAATCTTCTCTCGTATCTCACTAACTGAAGTACCCTTCTGTAGTTCAAGTTGAAGCTCTTTTCTTGCTTCTTTGAATTCTTTCTATTACCACAAATACTCAGATCATAAGTTATATTGACACCAGTGTTCCACAGGACACCAAATGAATATTTCACGAATGCAATGCAATCTTAGTTCATATGCTTGTATAAGCACAAGATGAGAATATCCAGATAATGCATCTGTGTGTATGGGAGTGTGTAATAAGCAAAGTTAAGGAATTACAAGCTGTTGTTCTGGAGAATAGTTTGGCTTCCCAGCTCTTTCCCATCGTATATAAGCTTGTATTTGCACAAGATCATCAGGGATATTGCTCCTTTCAGGAACAGGTGGATCCTTGCTTTCATTTGCATCATTTCTTTTAGTTAACCTTACTCGAAGGTCCTGGATGGAAGTACCCCTTGCTATTTCCTCCTGTAACTCAGTTCGAGCTGCTTCATACTCCTCCTGAGAAAGAGAAATAGAACCAACTACAAGTGACTTATAAGCGCATATCTTCCTGTTTCAAAACTAAAAGACATCATTCTTATATTGGTTAATACCACTACAGAAACAATTTCCTAAAGAAAACAACTACATTTCCCAAAACAACTAAATCTCATCATCATACATTTCTGCTCTTTCTCAGCATTTAAGAACAGAGAAATTATTTAATGTTTAAACAAGTAAGAGATTATAAAGCCAAGCAAGTAAAAACTACCATTGAACCAGAAGAGGTAAAAAGTGCATCTTGATCGACTCAACAAATACAGTATCGTTTTGTATTTGGCAGAACCAAAAAAAAAAAAAAAAACCACAGTGCTCTATAGTATGAACACAAAAAATAGAAGTTCCAACAACAATTCAACACCATCAATGTCACAGAACATGACACTTCCATGCTAAAATATTGTATAGAAAGGGCTCCTAACCTTCTCTTGCTCAGGAGTATACATCTGTTTCCCTTTTCTTTCCCACCTCAGATATGCCTGAATCTGCACAAGATCTTCAGGCACTGATACATTTGAAACCTGTGGCCCTCCAGAAGGCACTCCAATTGAAAAGTTGTCACCATTATTCTTAAACCTAACGAGAGAGGAGAGAATTAGGAAAAGGTAGTAGAGATACTAACTTTCATTGTAAGCCAAGGACGCTATAAATTAGCATGAAATGTTGCATTACCATTTGTTCTGGCCTTCATCAAAAATAAGAAACTCTATGGCCTGAATTGTGGGATCAGCAATCTCAATTCTAAGAGAAGCAATATCACCAGACTGAGAAGTGTAACCATAAATGAGTTATTTGAGCAACCGGGCATAAGAAATTAAATAAATGTTCCTGTTAGTTTATGCCACTGGTTGAATTGCACAGCTACTTGGAACTTACTTTAACAAAAGGAGTTCTAAGTGCTCTATTCTTGTATACTTTAGTTCCATCTGGACGACAATCAGGAAGCACCCATTTGCTGGTGATTTAGACCAACACAGAGAAGTATTAAAAGGATATGCAACGGTTACTAAAGTCTCACATATGTAGAATAATTCTCATACTTACCCTTTCCTATCTTGTACTGCACCCCAATGCAGAATTAGGTCATCACCACCATGTGTTACTTTAATGTCAACCGCAGGTCTGGCCCCTGAATGAGGGGCCGTGACATCAACCTGCACAATGGGAAACAGAAAACATACTTAACCAAGATGTTTTCCTTATCCAATATATTCAAAAGAAACGGTGAAGAAATCACTTTAGGAAGACTCAACAGAACTGCAGTATCAAGTATTTAAGATCGGATATAATATCCACCAACTACACCATCCCACCTGCAGTTCAATATTTCCATCAAGGTTGAACTTTTCCGCAATCTGTCAGAAAACAAGAAAAGGTAACAGTTAACAAGTATCTGAAAAACCTTCTCAGTGCACCTCCTTTATGCACCTCAACTTAAAGAAATTCTCAGTGCAGCTTATCACATAAAGGCTAATTAACTGAATTATCTGAACCTCACTAGTCCAACACCTTTAGATCCCTGTACCGGACAAGAACGGAAAAAAATGCAACTATAAACAATATGCACACATCTCCATATTAGTGTTCTTATGGAGAAGGACAATGTACTCTTATTCTGCTAGCTAGCCTTGTATGTAAAATGACAAAGCCCCTCAAGACTATGGCTTCCAGACAGTAAAGTACACTCAACTACCTAGTTTTAAACATTACGAGAAGACTACAATCCTTTCTCTCATAAACATAAAGGTAAAGCGAACAGTCCAGTGTAAAAAAGTCCTAAGAAAAGAATACCACGTGAGTTCAACGGAAAAATAGAAAATCACCTGCGAAGAAGGATCGGTGGCTAAAACAGCTCGAGGGAAGCTAGAAAGACCGCGTTCTTTTCCCATTGATAATTTCTTTTCCTTTACAGTCAATTTGCTGCCGTGAAACTCGGTTGATATAGGCGATTTTCGTGCCGCAGAAGTTGCTTGAGGTGAAAATAAAGTATTTTTACCAGTGGAAGTCGAATTGATTCTGCTCCGAGGCTCTAAAACAGTCCAAGGAAGAAAACTTTGGCGCAGCACCTTATTCCCTATCGAATTGCTCATATCTCTACACCTAAATCAACGCAAATAATCTAAAAAAAAAAAACCCAGCTACCAAGTCCTATAACATCCTCAATTTCCCTAAGTTGAAGGTGAAATCTACATAGCATTAAAGCAACTTTATCAAATTTCGAAGCATAAAAGCATTGAAAAAGATTCATCAATGAAGCAAATCTTAGGTACAGACTCACTAAAAATGAGCAACGAAGTGAAAAGATTCCTACAAGATTACTGAATTGGGAAGCAAACGCGTGAATTTCTACAAACTTAATCCAATTGCCAAATATTTAACCTCGATTCCACGCAAAAGTATTTTGCCAATGTCCTTAACTTCACTGAGCATATAAAAAAGGAATCAAAATTCAAGCTTAAAATCCACCGCAATTCGTCAAATGACGGCAGGAGCACGAATACATGTTGAGAATTGAGCAGCTTTACCTTGAATTTGAGCAACGTGACGGAGGACAGATGCGAGGTTGAAGACGGTGTGGTGACAAAGAATGGAGAGTGTGTGTGTACTGTGTGCGACAGTGGACCACTGGACTGTTGATGACCAGAGAGCTTTTCGCGGAGATTGGAAATTGGAAAACGGAAACAGAGAGAGTCAGAGACGACGTAAGAGGGAAGGATGGGAGATTTTAATGTCCCGTAATTTCACCTTGCACCCTGAGGTTTCGTTTAATTTCAAGTTATCCATCATATTTATCCACTAATCAAATTTGGCCCCTTTGACAATATCTTTTCCTTTTATTCATTTTTTCAAGGAACAAGAAGGAAAAAAATCGGTATTACAATCATGCTGTACTTCAAAAACAACAAACAAATATCTCCATCAAATTAGTCATTAATAAAAAGCTTAACACATAACTTTGACTTTATATATATTTTATTAAAGGTTACGCTATTCTTTTAAATTAGAAAAATTAGTCATGAATTAAATATCTACAAAGTATAAATTAAAGAGGAGAACTTGATGTTAACTTTTTGTGTTCAAGATTCGATTCACCGAAGAAGACTGAGTGCACATTGATAAGTAGGAAAAAAGCACAGACTTAAAGTGCACATTGATAATTTATCGATTTCTTGATAATTTTCTTATTTAATAGAGTGTGTAAAGATCTATAATCATATTGAAAGTAAACTCAAATTTTTTAAATTAATCAATAAAGAAAATATTTTTTTGTTATTAGCTTATGTATAATTTGTCCACTATATTACTATCTTCCATTTTCTTTGTTTAACTTTAATATGGTAGTAATATCACCATGTATGTACTCGTGTTTGTACAAGTGTGATTGGCATTTACTCGTGGGGGTTAGCTTAAGAATAACCAAACCTTAGGGAAAGAGATAGAATATCAGGATGTGGGTGGACACGTGTGCGGATGTTATGAGGACACCTGAAATATAAAAGCGTGGGACTGCTGGCTTTGATCACGTGCGGTGTAGCTTAGATACTGAGAGGAGGAAACGTATGGGCGGCGGCGGGGAGTCCATGAGTACGGGCTATGATGATGATTGTTTATATTTTGTTTTCTTTTCTTGATATTTATTGGTTGAAAGAAAAAGACAAATTTGCTTTGCTTGGGGTATTTAGACGAATTTTAGAGGTTGTTTGATTTTCATGGTGATATTTCAGGAAAAGGTGTAACAGACCTAGGGAACATGTGGTCTGAATTTTACTGTTAAATTGGAAATAAATCCCCAACATTATTATTTTTCTATTCATATCCGATTAGTGATTACTGCCTAATTTGCCCATTCTAATTAATTGCGGAGCTACTTTCTCATTTATATTTTTTTCGTGAATATATTTTTAAATTATTTTTTATCTGACATATATTAAATTGTTATAATACATTTTTTTTTTTTTTACAGAAGCTCCTAGAAATAGCAATCCAAACAACACAGCCTCTCAAGTAAAATCTGTTGGATTCGCAAAATAACCCATAAAAGGTAAACATCTTGGGTCAATTCCAAGTTAAAAAACAGAGGGTTAAAGAGAATAAAGTCCGTAAATAATAGATCTTTATTTGGGTTTATTCCTGTGATCAAGATGAGAAGTGGTTTCTTCTTCTCATTTTACATATCTCAATGGAATTTTCGTGATATTTTTCTCTTTTTCTTTTCCCAGGAGATACTCGTACTTTTCCTAAGATATTTCTACTGAATACTCTGTGTAGTTTTATTAAAGATCTCGAAGATGCTATAGGCCCACTTGAATATACACATACATTGGTGATTTTTCTGTTGCGTTTTCTTGTAACTTACTGTACAATTTATTGAACGAGCTTCACCTAAAAACCGGAAATTTGACATCAATGCACAAGATTTATGGATACACATTTTGACATCAATGTACAAGATTTATAGATACACATTTCTCGATGTAAATATATACTCCCTCCGTCCCATTTTGTTAGTCTTGATTTTTTTTTCACACAGATTAAGAAAGTGTAATTAATTTGGTTGGAAACATAAATTTAGATTAATAATTTCCTAAAATACCCTTATGCTAATCAATGTAGTCAATGTATTCAATGTATTGGAAAAACTCAATGTATTCAATGTAGTGGGTGAGTATTTAATAACAATGTATTAATAACAAGATATTTAATAAGGGTATTTTAGACAATTTGAAAGATTACTACATTTCTTAATGGGAAAGTGGACTACAATTTGGGACGGACGAAAAAGGAAAACAAGACTAACAAAGTGGGACGGAGGGAGTAAGATACTGACTGCTAGTACCTTTACCAAATTCATTAACGATCGGCCGGTGCGGTGATATGCATTGTACTACTAATTCTTTAGCAAACAACTGCCCAGCAAATGAAGCAATCCTTGATTCACTTTTTCTTTTCTTTTACTTTCCCAGTTTCCCTCTTCGTTTCAACCCCCGGGAAGGAAAAAAAAAACAAAAAACAAAAGAAAAGAGAGAAAATTTTCGCTTTTTGCCATCCATGCTTCAAGTTGAAGCTCGTGAGCGGATGCTCATCTTTTCTTGGTTAGGTATGGGCTATCGTCTAACGCGGTGCCGCAAAATGTCACAGCAGTCACGCGCAAACACAAAAAAAAAAAAAAAAAAAAAAAAAAGTTTCGGCTGACAAGAAAGACGTTTACATTCACAACAAAATTTGATTTGACATGCCTGCGGCCAGAAAGCCGTTAATTAATGTTACTAGATGCTTTTTTTTTTTTTTGGAAGGAATACTAGATGCTTCAATGGAGAAACCAACCGTAAACAAAGTACAGACAAGAAGCAGTAGATTACACCCCATGGTTTGGTTCTTCTGCTTTATTAATTAATGCATAAATGATGTCATCACGAGGAAAAAGAAATCAAATTTTTGTAAAAGGAACTAATATTTTTCAAGTATACAAAGGTTGAGTGGACAAAGCTTCAATTTGGCGAAGATGGAGTTATATTGGCGTCACATCAGGAAAAGATGAAGGCTGCTATAAACTAAGGAAATGTTACTGTCAATGATGGAGCTAAGGGGGGACAGATGGGGCCATGGCCCCGTAAGTTTTGAAAATTTTAATTTATAATATGTAAATATGTATGTAAAGTAAAATTGGCCCCCCTCTAATTTTTTATAATTTTAGTTTATATTATGAGAGTTGATATATATATATATATATATATATATATGAATTAGTCATATTTGAATTAATTTTTTCTTCAAAAAAAAGTTATTTATTTTTTATTTTACTAATTATTTAACTTTCAAAAATTAAACATATAATTTGATGTTCCATAGTAAATTGACCCAATGTGATGTATTAGAATAAAAAGACCCAATTCATAATTGTTAAAAGCAAGAACTAGTACGTCTAAAAATAGAACTTCAACATTTTGAACTCGACATTTCAAATCATCCTGAATTGCAAAAATTATCTGGTATTCATGAGTTATGTCAAGACTTGGTTAAGACAAGAAAATCAGTGATATATTCTCTTATTGACAGATTGATTAGACTTATTTTTACTCTTCTTGTATCAATTGCAACTACAAAGCAGGTATTTTCAATTATGAAAATAATCAAAACAAAGCTCCGAAACAAGATGGAAGATAATTTTTTGAATAATTGTCTAACTGTGTATATAGAAAAGAAAGTTGCTAAAAAATTTAGCAGTGATTCAAGTATAGATGAATTTAATTCTATGAAAGAGTTTAGAGCTCAATTTACTTCTAAGAAAAGATGTTGAAATTTCAAATTATGTTAACATAACTTTTATGTTTTTTCAATTAAAAATAGTTACATTGATATTACATATATATATATATATATATATATATATATATATATATATATATATATATATATATATATATATATATATATATATATATATATATATATATATATATATATATACATGGAGAGCATCTTCTCATAATGTGCAAATTGGATGGTTTGTGATGTTATAAAATATTTAATCAAAAGTTATCTTTTTTGTTAATTTTTGTTATGACTATACCGCATATTTATGAATAGACATACCTTTATAATTAAATTTAATATTTGATATTTTTAGATGTCATATATTTAAATAAAAGAAAATTATTTTGTACATAATATATTAAGATAATTTTATTAGGAAAAAATTTTGGCCCCCCCAAAACAAAAATCCTGGCTCCGTCACTGGTTACTGTGAATAGCATGAGTGCGGTTTGATTATTCTGCATCAGCTAGCGTCGCGACGCTCTGCATTACAAACTTCTTCTTCTAATAACTCAGTACCAAAACTTGATCTCGATCATATATATATATATATGTTAGAAATATTTTTTCAAGAGGGCACTGCCAGTGAGAGTGAGGTGGGTTCGGTTAATCTCCCCATTCATCTGTTACCTGACAAGCTGCATGCATATTACATATATAGTAGCGTTCTAACTGATAAATTCACACCGCCAGGGAGACGAGAATCACTCCTCTCAATAAAAGTTCACTTTTCATTAATATGGGATTAGTTTTGCAACGCAATTTATGATTATTGATATTCATGTGACCTGCCGAACCGAAATTCAACTTACTCTTAACATGAAATATACAAGCGCCCTAGTAGCAATGAATAACCAAATCAAAACCACACTTTAGCCGTAACAATCTTCTTATTACTAGACGGATCCGGTTCTAGTTCTAATCAATTAATCAGCGCTATGTTTTTTTAGTTTTGGTGGATGAAACAGCCAAAGAAAGGCTTGCATACTTCTCCAAAATACCCTGGAATCTCTTAAGATCACCTCCATCAATTCCAAATTCCTCAAGTCCATCAGTGCAATCTGACAAGCTGGACAATGCAGCTGAGAGCTGGGAATTGATAGCTCCTGTTTTATCTCCAGTCCTGATGTTTTCCAAGGCTCCGTTGAACTCATCGAGGATATTGCCGTAAGATTCGCTGCATGTTTGTACGATTGAATCTCTGGAGATTGGACGGAGTGAGGGGGGCAGCTTTGGGCCGAGACCATCGATCAATGGCTTGACTGGCTTCACTTGTTCAATGGCTGCAAGGATCACTCTTGAAAGTGCTTCGTTCCAGGTCCTTGCTCCATTCACCAGCGAGTTACAAAGATCCTTCTCTACTCCATGATTTGTTTCA